CGTACCGCCGCGCCGCGCCGCCCGACATCCCACCGCCCGCGGCCCACAGTGCACCGCGCGGCGCCGCCCGCCGCCGCCCCCCCCGCTCTGCGCGGCCGCTCCGCCCCGCCGTCTCTGTGCTCTCCCCACCCCGCCCGGTCGCCTTGGAGACGGCCGCCGGGCCGACATGGCGTCGTCGGTGCGGGCCGGGCCGCGGCTGCGGCGGGCGGTGCGGGCCGGGGAGCTGGCGGCGCTGCCCGCGGGGCTGCGGGGTGACGTGGAGGCGGCGCTGGCGACAGAAGGAGCGCTGGTGCCTTTCAGCTTGCTGCGGAGGCTGCACGCCGCGCTGCGGGAGGCAGGTAGGCCGCGCTGCGCCGCGGGAGGCGGTGACCCTACCGGGACCGCGCCGTGACCGCGCTTCCCACCCCCCCATCCCGCGCAGGGTCCCCGCTGCACCTGCACGAGCTGCTGGAAGGCTGCGAGATCCACCTGCCCGAGGTGCCGGTGCCGCCGCGGGTAGGTGATGGCTGGGCAGAAGTCGCGGGAGGAGGTGGCGGCGGCCCCCGGTTCTTAGGGTGGGTCTGTGCTTCCCACAGAACCCCGAGCTGGTGGCCCGGCTGGAGCGGATCAAGGCCAAGCTGGCACACGAGGAATACCAGCGGATGACCCGCAACATCACCGGCCAGGTGAGGGGCTGCTGCAGTGCCTGCTGCCAGGATTCATCCCTCAAACACGTGGCGACCTGACAGCAAAGGAGATTTGCCCCTTAGAGTGAGTGCAGTGCACAGGGAATGTGGCGGAGACTGGAGGAGAGCACACTGTAAATGCACCAGGAACAACAGATCCCTTGCTGAGGGCAGGGGTACGACAGGGTTAACAGGGCGATGAACAGACATACTGACTTTTGGGAACTGCTCACCCGTGCCAAAGATCTCAGGTTCTGATCTGGGAGACTGAGCACCCAAGGTAAATGTTTGACTGGGAGCATCCCTGCTGCTTACGTTTTTGTCATAGTTTTAAAATTGCCTCATCATGTCAGGGTAAAAGCTGAAAAAATGGTAACATTTAAGCACTCTTTCTTTCCTGAGAGAGATGATATTTTCTGGCACAGTAGTTGTTTGGACAAGCCAGCATCCCTTCCTGCTGGTATTCCATGTGATCCCATCATGTTATCCCTCCACACTGTACCTGGCATCCCTGTGTGTTCAGGTCCCTGCACATTTCCTCTTGTTGCTTTGGTCTCTGCCAAGCTTGGCCGCTCCAGGCTGGATGAGGCTTGGAGAAATCTGATCTAGTGGAAGGTGTCCCTGCCTATGGCAGAGGGTTGAAATAAGATGATATTTAAGGTCCCTCCCAACCCAAACCATTCTGTGATCTGTGACCTGGGGTGGTTTTAGCAGAGCTAAACAGCCACGTTCCTTCCAAACAGCAGAGCAGAGCAGTGTTCCCACACCCGTGTGCTCATCACATCTTCCCTGCCCCTGCCCCATATCATGGTGTAACCATGTCTGATGTGGCAACAGAGCTTGACACCATCTCATTCTTGCCAGCTGTGTGAAACAGGTGACAAACCTGCAGCAGACAACTCACATGCAAGAAAACACTCCCACTCAGAGAAGTGCTTTGATTAGAAACAATCCCTTCTCAACAGCCCTGAATCAGACCACAAACAAAACCCCAGAGAAACCTGTGCTCTGTGAAACCGCTGTTCCCTCACAGCCCACCAAAACCTCTCTGAACCTCCGAGTCTTGGGGACAGCACAGGGCATTGGCATTGCTTTTATTCTGCACACACAATAACCATGTTATTATCAACATTAAAATACAACTGATCACAAGTTGGTTTAATCCCTTTTTTCAGGAGATGAAGGGGCCATTGGCTGAATTTGGGAGACAAGGTGAGTGGCTGCCTGTCCTGCTGACATCCAGAAGTGTTTTATGGTAGGTCAGTCACAGGAACTGTTCCATGTCCAGCTGTTGACATCAGACTGCGTATCTCACCAGAAGGTTTTCACACACTGAAGTGTTCCTTGAATAAAGGAGCCTGGTGATCATTCTTACCAATATTTCTGGAGGCACAAAGCGTGTGACTCCTGGAGGATTCCTGTATCCCAGCTGAGGCGGCCCCGGGCCAGCTCTGTAGCGTGATTACACCTTATCCCCAGCCCTTCTCCCCAGCCTTACTTAAAACCAGCCATTTTCCCCCTTCCCTCCCGCAGTGCGCTCCGTGAAAGCTGTTGTCATCACCATATTCAACTTCATCGTCACCGTGGTGGCCGCCTTCGCCTGCACCTACCTGGGCAGCCAGTATGTCTTCGCAGAGACAGCAGCGGTGAGCGAGCCCGGCCTCCCTGCAGCACAGTCTGTGCTGCCCAGCCCAGAGTGGCACCACGACTGCACACCCAGGGTCACCCCTCTCTCTTTTGTGTCCCCAGCGCGTCCTGTCAGCTGTCATTGTGGCCTCGGTGGTGGGCTTGGCCGAGCTCTACGTGATGGTGCGGACCCTCGAAGGGGACCTCGGGAAACTATGACCATGAACTGCAGCCTTCATGTTGGAGGCTTTTGTCCTCCCCAGGAGCTGTAATTTAGGACAGATCTTTTTCCATCTGTTTTTACCTGCTCCTGCTACGGGAAGACAGCTGCACTTCTCAGGCTCGTCCTTTGCTTCCTGCTCCCGAAATGAATCATGGATTGAAAATCCCACAGCTGCAGAACAGGAGAGGGAACGGCTGTGGATTCTGACCACCCCAGCATGGAGAGGGGCGTCAGCTCCCACCTTCCCTGTTCTGTGAAGTTCCTGTCCTTTTATTCTGGAAATAAATAACATTGTTCGTAACCTTCTTCCTTCCTGTTGGGGGACATCTGCTGATATGTGGAACACGCATGTAAAAGTCACCACAGGGAGCTGTGAATCTTCCCTTTCCCTCCGCATCCTGCTCCATCTCATGTTAAAACCACTGTCTGCCTGCTCTCTGCTCTGCCTGGTCCCTCACTCGCTTTTGGGAACTGTTATTCTCTCAAGGCTCAGATGGCAGCACCCAACCCAGCTGGTGTTTGGGGACAAGCCCTTTCCCCATCCACACAGATCCATTCAGGAGGATGACAGTCTGGTGCAGCCACTTTGGGGTCGGCACCCAGCTTCAGTGTCCTCACACAGGAGCTGCGTGACCTGAGCCATGGCCCTGTGGCTCTTGGTGCCTCAGGGAGGAGTAGGAGCCATAGCTGGAGCAGTGAGGGGTGCATGGTGCTCCCAACCCTCTGCCAAAGGGTACCCGGCTTCTGTGGGTAGGGAGGGGATGCACCTTAATGCGCATCCTGCGGGCTTTTTGGGTGCCGTGAGGCGGAGAGCAGAGCCAGCTCAGTGCAGCCACAGTGGGGAGGGGGCTCCCAGGCTGTCCCTGCCAGGCCCTGGGGACCTGGACACCTGCCGGGTGGGCGCCCTGCCAGGGCCGGACACGGTGATTAATGCTCTGATGGCAGCTAAGCCCCTGTGGAAACACGGTTTAATATCCGATACAGGGAGATCTGCCGGCACCTGCGAACGTGCCTGCGGATTAGGGGCGGCTGCGCCACAATCATCCGTGGATACGGCCCCAGATTAAGGTATTTTTTTCCAAAAGATTAGTTGGTATTAGGGGGCTGATGGGGAGCTGCCCCCGCCACAGCCGCACCAGCATTTAGGATATTGGATGACATGCTCAGGACCTTTGGGACTGGCAGTAATTCCACACCCTAATGAAATCGTGGTGTTAATCTGCAGGGGCCGCGATACCACTGGGGTCCCCACTGCCCAGGGGCTCCCCACCACGGCTACAGCTCGCCCAGGTTGGTGATGGCCGCGCTGTAGATGAGGTCGGAGATGGAGCCCAGCGAGGTGGGGAGGCCCCGAGCAGGGCTGCGGGCTCCCGGCGGCGGCAGGGCAGGGGCTGGGCCCGGGGTGCTGCCGTCGGGGGGTGCCGCTGGGGGACCCCGCTCCCCGGGAGGCGGCAGCGGCGGTAGCGGCGGCGGCTCCGGTTTGGCGCTGCGGATCCTGCGGGCGCGGCGGTTCTGGAACCAGACCTGGGACGGGCGAGGGGAACTGTGAGACACCGACAGCGGCCCGACGGGGCAGCCCCCCGGGGAAGAAAGGAGGTCCCGGCCCCTAGAGGGTGGGATGGAGGGGAGGGTCCGTTCCGCACTCACCTGGATCTTGGCCTCGGGCAGCTGGGTGAGCTCGGCGAGGCGCTCCCGGGTGGCGATGTCCGGGTAGGGCACTGCGGCGAAGGCCCGCTCCAGTTCCGACAGCTGCCCCCGGCTGAACGTGGTCCGCCGCCGCTTCCGCGGTCCCCCCGGGCAGGGGCAGGGGCAGGGGCACGGCCCCGGGCCGCCACCTCCTCCCGCCGCCCGCCCGCCGCCCGGCCCGCCCGCCCCCTCGGGGAAGCGGAGCAGCGGCTGGGGGGCGCGGGAGGTGCCCGGGGCCGCGCTCATCCTGCCCGGCTCCCCCGACCACGCCGTCGCCGCCCCGGCTTTTATCCCCCCCGAGTCCCCCCCGGCGGGCTGGGACCGCCCAGAGCGGGCGGTGCTGCCCCCCCTCCCCACCGTCTCTTCCCGACGGCTCCCGGGGCCGGTCCTCGCTCCGCACCCCCGATGGCAGTGCCCGATAGCCCCGACTGACTCGGGGGCCGTCTCCCCCAGCACCCCTGGCGACCAGTAATTTCACCACTGCTCGTACTGGCATCCCCCCCCGCCGCCGTCGGGGCACGGTACGACCCGTGAGAATCTCCGGGCTCGGTGACCCACCTGCCACCCCCCCCGCACCCCCTCCCCGGCTCCCCTCCCGCCCCCCCCGCTCGCCCCCCACTGTGCGGCCGCCACTCTCCTGCGTGGCTGGCACGGTCAATGTTTAACTGGAGCGGTGGTACCAGTTGTGCGGGGCAGCCCGGGGCGGCTGGCGGTGGCTCCCGCCGGGATCGACCGGGAGCTGCGGGCACCCCCGAGCACGGGGTGCTGGGGGGCGCATGGAACCGGAGGGGGAGCGGGGCGGGGAGCTCCAGACGGACCCCCGGCCCAGAACGCTCCCACGGGACCAGGAGAGACCGTAAGTTGTGAGGGAGATGGAGTGGAGGGGAACCATCTCGTCCTGGAGCAGCAGGACCTGGGCAGTGACGGCCCGGCTGATGCAGCCGGAGGGGAAAGGCATAGAAAAAAGTCGGGGGGGGGGCACAGGACCGTCCCTCTGCGGAGACATGGGGGAACACTGAGCTCTGTCCCCTGCCAGGCCCCAGGGCACAGTGGGGGTGGAAGGGCGGCTTGAGCGCAGCATGAGCGGGGGTCCCTCTACCCCAGCCCCCGGGGTGCCGGCCGGCAGAACCCCCATCTGGGGGGCACCCACCACCCTCTGCTCCCCACAGGAGCCCCGGAGAGGAGCGGGAGCGCCCCGTGGAGGGCAGAGACACGCGGCTGAGGGTAGTGCTAAGGTAAGGAGCGGGACGCGAAGGGCTCGGGGACGCGGTAGGGACCTCCCTGCCTGGGCAGGGGCACAGCGGAGCTCCCCACAGTCCACAAGTAGAGGCACCTCTGTGTCCCCTCATGCACACCCCATTGCTAGGGTCCGACCACTGACCTGCTCGGAGACGCGGCGAGGTGACCGGCGGGTTGTGCACAGCCTCGGTGACGGCGCGGTCCACGTAAGTGCCACTTCCCTGCCGAGGGATCAGGGGGGCTGCGGCACCCTCTGAGCTGCCTCTGTCCCCACGTCCAGGTGAGCGCGGCGAGGCACGATGCCACCTTTGGTTTCAGCGCCGTGTTCGACGCCGGCGCCTCGCAGGAGGCTGTGTTCGAAGGCAGCGGGATGAGGCAGCTGGTGGAGCTGGCGATAGATGGGTAAGTCCCAACCAGCCCCTCGTGGACCCCAACCCTCCATCCACCCCATGCCGGCCATCGTCGGCGGGTCTGCACTGCCGGACTCTGTCAGGAGGTGGCATCCCTGTGCCACCGCCTGGGGCCATGCCTGACGCTCAGCATCTTACCCAGCTTCTCCTGCACCGTCTTTGCCTTCGGGCAGACCGGCTCGGGAAAGACCTACACCCTGATGGGACCTCTTGCCCAGGTACAGTGCTGTCCCCCCGGACTTGACCTGATCCTGGTGGTGGGATGGACTCTTCCCACCCGATCATGGGCTCTGGGAGCAGGTGGGTGCCTGATACTATTGACCACTCACCATTCTGGCAACTCCGAAGAGTGAGACCCAGCCAGTGTCCCCGGCCCTGCTGGGGCTGATGCAGAGGTCCTTCGCCTGCCTCCTGGAGCAGAGCCGGAGCCGCGGCTCAGATCTGGCTCTCAGTGCTTCCTACCTGGAGATCTACAACGAACAGGTAAGTGCCTGACCGGCCCCCAATTCGGCCCTGCTGGCACCCTGTGCCCCGCTCCCCTTGTGTACCTTCCCTTTGCCACACCCCTAGATCCGGGACCTGCTGAGCCCGGGGCCGCCGTGTGCTCTGCCCCTGCGGTGGAGCAAAACCCGCGGCTTCTACGTGGAGAACCAGCTCAGTGTGGACTTCGAGAGCCTGGAGGACATCGTCAGCCTGCTCCTGCAAGGTGCTGTGCCACGGGTGCAGAGCTGGGGCATGTTCAGGGGGTTCTAGACCTGCAGGGTTCTCACCCCTGCAGACTGTCCCCAAGGCTGGTGGGGCTCCCATGGCAGCCAAGAGGAACAGCTTCCCCTCCCGCTGCAGAGCCACGGCAGGCTCCTATGTGGCAGGGGTGGGCAGTGAGTGCTGTACTGGAGTGTGGGGTGTCCTGCCTCCCTGCAGCTCTCAATTCCATCCCCATCAGGATCCCAGAGGCGACGGACCTCGGCACATGCCCTCAACAGGCACTCGAGCCGCAGCCATGCTCTTCTGACCATCCACATCCGCAGCCGGGCTGTGAGCACATGTCCTTCTCTGGGGGAGGGTTTGGGGGGCCCAGGGCTCATCGTGGGGGTGCAACACTTTCAGGCTGGTGGGGTAATGTCCTCCTCTTCAAGGCCACAATGGTGGGGCTGTGGTGAGCAATCCCAAACCCAGCGGTTGGGCACTGCTGTGGGCCACGGGGAAAGGCTGAGTGGCATCAAAGCATTACTCCCCCAATGTGGGTCCCCCAGCTCAACGCCTGCCCCAGCAAGCAGGGCACACTCTGCTTTGTGGACCTGGCCGGCAGCGAGCGGGTGAAGGAGACCGGCTCCAGCGGGGAGCTCTCCGTGGAGGCCAACAGCATCAACCGCAGCCTCCTGGCACTGGGTAAGAGTTGTGGGACCCACCAGGGGAGCACAAGCTGCTGGTCCTCACCAGAGCCCTGTTGCACCCTCTGGGGCTCATCCTCCGGCAGGACACTGCATCTCTCTGTTGGCCAAACCCCGAGGGAAGTGGACGCACATCCCGTACCGGGACAGCAAGCTCACCCGGCTGCTCGCCCGCTCCCTGGGCGGCTCGGGCATCACCCTGATGGTACATGCATGGAGGAGGGCTGGGCAGGGGTCTTGCCCCGTGGGTTGGAAGGCTGGAGGGGGATGGTGACAGCTCACCTGCGTCTCTTCCTTGTCTGCAGGTCGCCTGCATCTCCCCGTCCTCACGCTGCCTCTCGGAGACACTGAGCACGCTGCACTATGCCAGTCGGGCCCGGAGGGTCACTACCAGACCCATGGCCAACAGGGTATCACAGACAGGGAACCCCTCTGAGGGCCTCTGCCATTCTTTTCAGACTCCCCTGAACCACCCCCTTATGCTCCCAGGTGTCCCGGGAGAAGCTGCTGCAAACCTTGGAAGAAGAAATCCATGCCCTAAAGCTGGAAAACCTCTCCCTGCGCCAGCAGCTGTGCCTGCCCAGAGTGCCACTGAGGAGCACAGAGGTCCCAGAGAACCCTCCAAAAGCTTGCACGAGCTGGGGAGGCAGGTATGGCCCCGCAGGGCTGCATCACCTCCCTCTTGAAGGGCAACTCCACTCAGAGGGAACACCTGCCTGGCCCAGCCTCTACAGTCTCCTGAGGGATTTCGTGGTGGAGAATGAGCACATGAGGTATGGGCAGCATGTGTGGGACCCCTGAACAGGAGATCAAGGGGCCAATGGGACAGCCCGAGCCCCCAGCCAGGCAGCACTCAGCGCTGCCAGCTTCTCCCAGGAACTCTGCGGGGCTGGGCAGGGCTCTGAGGTTCTCTGAAGACTGCCAACACTCTGCCCTGTTCCTTCACTGCTCCCCAGGCAGCCCTGGCTGTCCCCAGACCCCAGTGGTGATATCCCAGATGGCCCATCCCACAGAGCCACCCGCAGCTCCTGTGACAGCCAGCCCCTGCTCCGGAGTGCCCACGCCCCCCAGATCCCCCCTGGCCACTCCACAAGGTTCCAGAAGCCCAACACATCTGCCTCCGTTCCCCGGCTGCCGGTGAGAGTGGGGGGCCCTGGGCTCCATGCATATCCTGCCCATGGCAGGGGGAGGATGCACAAACCACCCACCTGCTGCTGTCCCCTCTTGCAGAAGCTGCCTCCTGCCTCCGGCCGCTCCAGCTACCCAGGGTGCCCACAGTGCTGCCCCGGGCCAGCTGATGCCACCACGTCCCAGGTACAGCCCCAGGGCTCTTTGGAGGGGGGTGGCACAGTGTGACATAGCAGCCTTACCCTCTCTGCTCTCCCACAGGTACTGCCAGTTCCCCCCATGCCACAGCCGGCCCCCACCGAGGGAAGTGCTGGTGTTCTGCCCCTCAGACAGGAGGACATGGCTCTGCCTGGCTCCCATCAGCTCCACGGGCACCCCCAGCCACACCAGGGGAAACGGTGAGAGCCAGGGCCACAGGGGATCAGCTGCAGTTTAGGAAGCCCCTGGGGTTTTGGGGCGGTGGTGGGACAGTGGGCTCAGGGTTTGTTCATGTGTCCCCATGGCAGGAGCCAGGGCAGAAGCAGGAGCTTTTCTCAGCAGCACCCACTCCCCCGGGAGCTCCCAGGCCCAGATCACAGTCCCAACCCTGAGGGAAGGGTCATCCCTTCAGCACCACCATGGCCAGGATTGCCAGAGCCCAGAGGTGAGCAGGGCAGGGAGGGGAGACCAGGCAGGGTCTCAAATGGGGTCCCTCAGGGATGGGCACCACTCCTCAGCACAGCCCCTCACACATGGGGCTGTGAACCCATCCCGGGGGTAGTGGAGAGCTGACCCTGCTGGCTCCCTGCTGGCAGCTGCCGGCACTGTCCCTCTCCTCCAGTGGGAAGAGGCACTGGACTGGCTGGCAGAGCAGATCTGAGCAGCCACAGCCTCACCGTGGATGGAGCCAGCAGTGGGAATCTGGCACAGACTGGGGGGACAACCACAGCCCGCGGGGACACCGGAACCTGGGACTACAAGGACCACACAGACCAGTTGGATGGACATGCACACGGGGCTCTCCAGCCTGCACGGCACTCTCAGTTTATTTCTGTCTAGCTGGGGCTGTGCTGCCGGCGGCTCTGGGGATCCCACTCAGGTGCTCTCCTCCCCGGGCTGCGGGCAGTCCAGCCAGTACTGGGCGATGGAGCGGGGATAGCGCGGCTGCACCAGGTCCACACGCTTGGTGCGCAGGTTGACACGGTAGTACTTGTCTGGGAGGAAGGGGAGATGGCTGTCAGGACTGCCCCTGGCTGTGGGGAGCTGCCAGCCCTCACTGCCAGCCCTGGGCACCTTCCCACTGCGTCTGCCAGCCCTCACTGCCAGCCCTGGGCACCTTCCCACTGCGTCGCAGCGCTTGGGGGATATTGCAGAGAGAAAGGAGCCCTCCCCCTGCCCTGGCAGCCCCGGTCCCACATCATTCCCAGATCCTGCCATGCCAGACTCACCTCCTACAAAGAAGTAGACACTCTGGAGTGTCTCGCACTTGGAGCCCGACAGCCCATCGCTCTCGACACCCGCGGAGTCAGAGTCGTTTTGCAGCCAGCTCCACAGTCCCAAATTCAGGGACCGCTGGCTGTTGTACCTCTTGCGCTGGCGGCGAGACTTCCTCCTCCGGGGCTGGTGGGAGGCCACGTAGATCCTGCCGGCCATGGCAGCATCCAACGGGCTGGGCACTCCCCGCCAGTCCCTGCTGATGAGCCGTGGGCTACTGGCCCCGACTGTAAAAGGAGCAGGGGGTGAGTGAGAGAAGCAGCAGTGTATGGGGTGAGCTGAGCCCAGCCCCATGGAAAACCCCCAGTGCCTGCTCTGAGACCCACAGGAATGCTGCAAAGGATCCTAGCCTGGAAGGGATGTGTGATGGGGAAACAGGCCAGGCAGAGCTGGGAGTAGCCCCCCACCCCGTCCTTGGCTGGGATCAGCCCTGTGCTGATGAGCCCCCTTCTCCTGTCCATTTTTCATTCCTTTTGCCCAGGGCTGGGGCTTACTGTGGCAGTTCCCAGTTCCAGTGACAATAAACAGTCCCCAGCAGTGGTGCTGTGGTGTGAGGTGGCTGGTGATGGGCTGGGTAGTGCAGGGCATAAGGGCTGAGAGGGTTGGAATTGGGCTGCTGTGGGAGATGGCCTGGGGGGTTCCTATGCATGGCCTGGGCAGGACAAGGTGGGTCATCCAGCCTGCCCAGGCTTCCAGGCATTGTTTCCCCCTCCCATGCCACCTGAGCCCCCTGTGCCCTGTCTGTGTGGGCTGTACTGGCACCCGCCAGCCCTTTCCCCCAGGGCTAGCCCAGCCCTTACTCATCCTGCCGCCAAAGAGGATCTGGAAAACATCCTCCCAGCTGTCCCGGTTCATGAAGGCGTAGTGTTTGAACACGGTGGAGGGGGAGGACTTCTCGCAGTCAGCCTGTGTGGGCTGCTGGGCGAAGTCATAGGACCAGTAGTACTTGCCTAGGAGAGGATGTGCAGGACATTAGTGGGGGACACACCCCCGAGGGGGAGCAGCAGAGGGGTGTCCTGCTGGTGCCAGGCTCTGCCCAGGAGCTGGGGGCTGCTCCCCTTACCCTTGAAGAAGTAGACTCTCTCGTTGCCGTGGAAGCTGTGTGCAGGGAGGGCAAAGGCTGCATCGACGTTGTTTGGGATGCCCTCAAAGCCCTCGGAGATGTCGCGTGGGTACCCAGGGTCCAGGGCTCCATCATCAAAGCGCCAGTATTGGGTGCCCTGGGGGGGGTGTGGGACAGAGTGGGGTCAGGGTGCAGCATCTCCCAGGCCCAGGTCTGCCATGGGGAGCAAGTGGATACTGGGGAGCCCCATCATGAGGCTGTGGCTGCTTGGGGTCCCTGCAGAGCCACAGGGGCATGGGGGTGTCTGGCAACCACTGTGTGTGTGGGTGCATGGAGGATGCCAGTAGGGAATAGGGTAGGGTGGAGGCTGTGCCAGCATCCCAGGGGGCTCCCCTAGCCCTGCAGCTCAGCTCCAGCCCACCTTGAAGAGGTAAGTCTTGCCCTGGCAGTTGATGCGTGTGAAGGCTGCATCGATGGGGCCCTCGATGCCCCAGACCTCACTGATCAGCTTGGGGTAGCCAGGCCGCACACTTGTCTTGTCCAGCTCATAGAAGTACTTCCCTGGGGAGAGAGGGGAGGTGGGAGCATTAGGAGGGACCCCAGATGCTGCTGTGGGGTGATGGTGTGACAGCACATCCCATGTGCCTGGGAAGGGTCCCCAGGGTACCTCGGAAAGCGTAAAGGGAACCATTCTTCAGGTCGGTGAAGGCGTCAAAACGTTTCCCACTGCACAGCTCCTCAGGCTCATCTCCGGGATCTCCCTCCCCAAACCCATCTGTTGTGGGGCCAGGCACCACCTCCACGGGCAGCTCTGTCTCCCCAGGGCCTGGATTGCTCTCTGGTGTGGTCTCCACCAGCGATGGGGATGTGGGCAGTTCTGTGGGGTTTGCCTTGGGTGGCTCTTCCGTGCCAAAGTCGACAGTGAGGTTGTAGTCCAGGTAGTCATCCTCCGGCAAGGCGAAGACGTCTCCCCGAGTCACTGTGGGAGGGAGCAGGTTGGTCCCAGGAATCCCTGGGTGTCTCCCACAGTGGTGGGAACCACTCATTCCCAGGCAATACGGATTTATAGAATCATGGAATTGTTAAGGTTGGAAAAAAATCTCCAAGATCATCAAGTCCAACCATTAACCCAACACTGCCAGGTTCAACACTAAATCATGTCTCCAAGTGCCACAGCTACATGTTTTGAACACTTCCAGGGACAGTGGTTCCACCACAGCCCTGGGCAGCCTATTCCAATGCCTGACAACCCTTCCAGTGAAGAAATTTTTCCTAATATCCGGTCTATCCAATTTGCATGGACCCCACACTGTGGATGGCAGTGAGCCAGCTCCTGAGAACCCCATGTGTTGCAGAGCCCTGACTTCACCCTGTGGACACAGGTGAGTGCAGAGCTGACACAGCACAGACCCCCTGAGCTACCCCAGTGTCAGGCACCCACCGCCACCCCATTTTCCCCATTCCCCAGCCGGGAGGGCAGTTGCAGGGCCAATACCTTTGGCCTTGCAGACGGTGGAGTAGTCTCTGCAGCAGCTCTGGTAGTACATGCAGAGGGTGTCACACTGGCACTTGCGCTGTGCATCGAAGCCATCATCGCAGCGGCCCTCGCAGGAGTCTGCAAAAGCCACCCCATGGCACAGGAGTAATGTGGGATGGGAAGTGGGGCCTATGCCTCCCCCCAGCCCATCCCCTGGGGTGACAGCAAACTTGAGTATGTCGTGGTTAGGGGCACACCACCTTTTCACGGTCAACCCCACCAGCAGGGGCTACCTGGCACCTCACCCCTCTCCCACCCAGGTCCTGCAGAGATGGGAGCCCTGCACGGGGTTGTGTCAGGCTCCCATCAAGCTCCACACTGGCAGGCCAACTGTAAGATGGCCAGGGATTTACCAAGGCACCATCTATGCCCATGTGCTGCCCACTTGCTTTCTCCCCATCCTGCAGTGTAGCCAATGTTGCCAGTGGCCACAGCCACCATCTGGTCCCTCCTTCCCCATCCCAGGCTTCCCAGCCCCTCCATCAGCTCAGGAGCTGCACTTGCTCCATCCTCGAAACACCTGGCATGGGGCACCTGGCTGGCTAAGGCTCACCTTCAGCAGCACGGGTGGTGACAAGCAGGGCCAGTGCCAGGGCAGGGAAGAGGAGCCTCATCCTGGGTGTCTGAGAGCGCAGCCCTCCTGTGACTGTGCGGGCTGGAACGCGGCAGCAGCCAGAGCCCCAGCATCCACTGTTTGCTCAGCCTGCCCCAGCGGGAGAAAACAAACAGGCCAAGGTCGGAACAGGGGAAAAGGGGCAGAGATGATCTCCCACTCAGCTTTCCCCGCAGTCTGTACCAAGCCAGGTGCGTTTGTGGGGGACAGGATTCCCCATACGTGCAAGCAGCTCTACCCCAGCCCAGGTGCAGGTTGGACACTGTTCAGAGAGCAGGGAGGGACAGAAGACCTGAGCCAGGAGTCAGTTTTGAAGTCCTACCACGCTTATTTCCTAGTAAGTCTCATGGTATTAAAGCTCCCGGTTGTTTCCCAGGCTGGTCTTGGCAAGACAAAAACCCACATGAGACAGGAGCAATGCTCAGAGGGCAAAAGGAAAACCACTGGGCTTATTCTTGCCCCGGAGGACTTACTCTTGGGATTTCAGCTTTCTCAGTGTCAAGGCTGGGGAGCAACAAGGCATGGTGGCTTGGGATGGGGCAGGTGCCACCTTTGTGCATGGGGACCAGAGGCCAGAGGTGAGCGGCCGCGGGAGAAGGAGGGCAGGAGCCCTCTGCACTTTCTCTGCAGAAGGCAAACAAAAGCCTGTGTATTTTGCTCCCATCATTCCCCTTCCAACCAATCTTTTTGGTTACTAATTAATGTCGACTCAGCTCTTTTGGCAGCTCCTGATAACTGTGGGATGGTTATTTAATCAGGGGCAAGGAGCAAACGTACATGAGGCTGCAGCAATCCTTCCTCTGCTGCCTGTGCTGTTGCAGCACTGCTAGGACAGGAACTCCATGGGGTTCATCCCAGCCCTGGGACAGGAGTGGTGCAGCTCTGGGCTTTAAGTGATGCAAGATTTGGGGAGAGAAGAACCTGAGCAGGGTGCCCTCTTCTCCGAGGGTCTCTCCTCTGCCAGCTCAGAAACAAGCAGTTCCTGGCATCACATGCTCCCATCCTTGCTAAAAAGAGCTTTATTTGGTTTTGAGACAGGCATTTCCACCTGTGAAGCCCTGGGGAGCCAAGGGCAGCCACCAGACATGGGCTGTTGGAGTAAGACCTTTCCTGAAGCCCATGTCCCCCCTCCTTGTCCCCCAGCCTCAGCTATGGCAGGGCTGGCATTGTCCCCAGATGCCAGCACCAGCCCAGTGCTGCACTACGGCTTTATACCACCCCTGTTGAAACAAACCTGGGGGACACAAGAGCCCTGACAGAGCTCAGGCTTGCCGGAGGCTGTGGGGGAGAAGGGCTGGGCAATGTCTGAGCTGCTTTTGCTGATCAGCTGAGACAAAGCTCCCTCCTGCTGCTCCAGGCTCCCAACCACCAGCCA